GCCTTCCCTCTGGCCCCCTCCACAGAGAGGCTGCAGGCTGTGGAGAGACACTAAAGGCTGGGAGAATCCCCCAGAGCCTGCCCCTCCCCTCGCAGAAAGTCAGAGTCCCACCTACAGACTGGAGGGCATGGGGCAGCTGGAGGCAGGGGCTGGCCCTGACCCCCCCCAGGAAAAGCCTCCACCCTTGCCACCACAGGCAGCCCTAGTAAGTTCTCCCCTTCCCCCCAGCCTCCAAGCTCTCTGGCCCGAGTCCTGCACCCGACAAACCTTGTCATGAGCCCTGCCATGCCTGGCTCAAGCAAAGAGGGTTAAACAGGGCTACTTACAGTCCAAGATTGGGGGTCCTCCACTATAAGGCACATCAAACAAGTCAAAGAACACTTCAGCTGCCACACTGGCCAGCAAGATGTCATGCAAGCACCCCTAGACACTCCAGCTTTCCCAGTGCCACAACCAGTACCACACCCAACTCAAATGAGAAATTATGAAAACCGATCTCACCAGCTTCCCAAAGGACCAGCTACATTCTCAGGTCAATTTATACCTTAGATCTTACCCAGAAGAGCATGCACACTGTGCCAATCCTTTACAATCTAAAATCTAACCGTTGATTAAAAACAAACAGACTCAAGAGTGGAATTGTTAAATAAATTACATTACATACATCAATCACAAAGTTCCCGGTACCGACTCTTAGCAGAGGTGGAATAAATGGTTATCTTAAAAGTCTCTGGAAATCAACCTAGGATGGGTCATCAGTCCTTCTGGGTCCAAGTTCATAGCAAAGGTGCTTCTAAAGCGATGAGCTGGAGTGAAGACCAATGGAGGAATTCCTAAGACCATATTTATAATCTTGTCCATGTAGAGGGAATTCCATTGTTCTTGCTGTATGAAGGTACCTCCCAAAAGGTAATAACATGAGCAAGTCACATGTCCATGTCCTTTTTAGGCAAACAGCCATGGCTACCTGCTTTGCCTCAAGACAGTTTACAGGAAAATTCCTCAGATGTGTACTGGCAACACTTAAGGTCCATCATCACTGATATACTGCTATTTACTTGACCATACATCCTTTCACAAAAGGTGGGAGATGCCTGCTGATACCTCTCCAAAGCAAATACTTGAAATACCAGTACATAGCCAATACTCATAGCTTCACATACAAAAACCATAGTATAAACAGAATCAGCAAAGCGTAAGCTTTAAATAAATACATCACTTGGCCCCCTTTGTACAAAATGTGGGGCAAACGTACAACAATGTTCTGCATGTTCACATCAAAAATCCAATATCAACACCCAAAGCCCCTCACCCCCTGCAGCACCCTGCCCTCATTTCTGCACTCCCACCCTGTACCCTAACTCTGGCACCGCTACCCAGTCCTGAGCGCCCCTGCCACCAAATGCTGTGCCCTCACCCTCCACCCCCTGCCCTGAGTCTCCCCAGCTTTTCCAGTTCCCTGCCCTCACTCCTAGCAAGACTAAATTGTAAACATTGTCTACCAACAATGGTAGACTATTTACATTTTTTCCTTTATTCTTGAAAAATACAGTCATTTAAGTAAAACACATACATTTTCCTTTCATTTTCCACACAAACCCAGAAGAAACATTACCTCACTTAAAGACCTGCTCAATGCCAAGTACATCTGCTAGTACATAAATATAGAACATGGACAGATTGAAGGAGATAGGAAGTCACTAAAGAAATCCATTGCTTGCAGAGATCTAGACACGTGTTCTTATTACCAGAGGGAGGGGATGGATCCTGCTGCTGTATGAATGGGCGAGGAGGAGTGTTATGCTTATATGAAGCACATGAGATCTTTTATAGGGGAAAAGGGAGTAGCCCGCATTTATTGAGAATACAACAGTTAGCATATGCTTTTCAGTCTCACACACACACACACACCATGCATACAGTCCCGCCAGTTGATGTTATAGGTCCAGAGTCAGGATCAATCTAGTGGCCATCCAGATTGATCACAGAGGGGAACCGGGCTTTGTCAGTTGTGATCCAATGCTCCTGGAGTTGGTGGCAAGACAAACCCAAAGTTCCATGGCAAAGCACCCTGCTTTTATAATCCTTTTTCCCTGTTGGAGTCTATGGATTCTGCTGTGTCAGTCTGTGACCGGTTACTCCTTAATTAGTGTTATCTGTTGATGTTAATATTCCAAAACACCTCTGAGAGGGTCATCCTGTCCTGGATTGTTAATCAATTGTCTTTAGGGGTGCCAGCCTTCACCTTTAGAGACGTCAATCTACTGATGATTCCCTGACACTGATAAGTCTCGTCTTCACCCCACGTTTTCCTTCTTTCCAGACAATGTGGCTTTAATGACGGCCTTTAAAGACTTTAAAGACTGAGAGATGCCCCAACGGATCTGTCACCTGGGAGTGACACAATCAAAACGCCCAAGCTCTGCCTATACCTGTCCCTTATGACCGGCTGAAGTTCTTTTAAATTGTGCTTGGTTCTGTTACAGCAACTGAAGGAGTCAGGTTAAAGCTTAAACAGTTACTATTTTATTGTTACAGGGTAAACTTAGTTGTTAAATGCTACTACTGTGTAACAGATACCCCAGCCACTACAAAGGACAGGACAGAAATTACACTAATAAGTCACTTACAGGTACCATGAAACCCTTTGGTTCTCTGAGCTCTTATTAAATGCATGCAAAATAGACACCTAGCAGGTATATATTCTCACCCCTGCGTTCCAGACTTGGCGTGGCCAGCGTCTTTCTCTCAATCCCTCGGGAAGAAGTAGGGCGAGGTTGGGCGTCCCACAGACCTCGGGAGACAATCAATACCTGCCAGCAGGTATAGATGATTGGAGCTCAAATGGGGTGGGCGGCTGAACCTCTTTTTATACCCCTTGGGTCATGTAGGCTTCTTCCTGGTTTCAAGTGGCCAATTAGGAAAAATGGCTTTGAACGCCAAGTTTCCCACGAAGGGTGCAAAGCATAATTTACACCTGGGAAAATGCAGACAATGGGCACCTCTGGTATGTGATGGGCGAAGATTCCTCTCCTGGGACAGTGCAGGCGTGTCAATTACTGGTACTAGCCATCAGGGCGACGGGAGGCCCCGGGTCGTCAGCTAGCCCATTTACTGTCTGGTTTCTGTTTATGGTAGAGTCAGGGACAGGCAGCACACCTGCGTTCCCAGGGCATCAAAGGCTGACTGCCTTTCCCTTGCTCTCTGGGGGCGGGGAACAAGATGGGGTTCGTGGAAAAACAAGATGGGGTTTGTGTCTGGCTACAATGTTTAGCTACACATTACTAAACATCCAACCTGAAATACAGATATAAATTCTACTTCTACAGGAGCCTACTGTAGAAATGCATGGGTGGCATCATCATCCTTGCTGAGGCTGGTCACATCTTTTCCATTAGTGCCTCCCACAAGCTCCAAACTGGCCTTGGGATGTAAAGCAATGGAAGTTGATGACATCTGTTCACAGTAGCCATGAAAGAGAGAGCAAAGTCTGAGGGGGGCTTTGTTTTTCCCATTTTTGTTCAGCCCAGGGCAGAAAAAAGGGTAGACATCCAGAGAGTATTTCAGGCTATAAGTGTAGATGAGAGACATCTCTAAAACATCATAGAAATCTAACCTCTGAGCCTTACCATTCAAATGAACGCCAATTACTTTAGGCTGGCTGCCAAGTCTTAGATTAACTGGAGGATTTTCAAATGCTATACAATTAGCATTGTTAAAATATCGTATCCCCCAGTATCCATTCTCTGGCATCAAATCCTGCCAGCCTTTCCTATTAGCCTTCCCATCCGTAATCCCAAGATCCCAATCTGTTTTATCTCCCACATATACTTCCCAGTAATATTCCTTCCCAGCTCGGAGGATCTCAGATCCCAGCACGGAGGCCCATCCATCGAATCTCTCTGGAATATCTTGCACGTCATGCTTCTCGTCAGTGTGGTTTACACATAGGCAATCCAATGAAATATGAAGGTTGGGATGTGCTGTGTCACAATCCAGTCTGATTTGTACTGTACAGTTAAAGGGAGAAAATTGGATGGGGGGGGGAGAGAAAGAGTGGGTGAGCTTTCATTTTCTACATCACTCAATTCACAGAAGTATTCTTTATATTCCCTACTTCCTAATGCCCTGAGATCCTTCTCCTGCACTGTTCCCTGTAAGCTCTGTACTGGTCCAGCCACTCAGGAGAGAGTCAAATGCTGTCCAGCTGATTAGCAGAGCACCCACAGCTAGGTGTATCATTTCTATGGGTGGTGCACATTCATACATACCTTGGTGCACATACATTTTATTCTGCACATGGATGAAAAAGATTAGAGGGAACATTGCTCTACAGACTTAAAATGTTTCTACTCTGAAAATAAGTTAAGTATGTCATCAGAAATCTGCCCGGGGGAATTCAAAATTTACTCCTGGGGGAATTCTGGTGATTAAACACCTGCAGAAAACACCCACTCATCCCCGAATTCCTGTGCTTCTCTACAGAAAATGGCAGGGAAGCTGCATGGTGAAGAAGGGGGCCAACCATTTGCTCAGTTTTTGGGATGGGGAGCACAAGGGGTTGCATGTCACTGCCTCCTCCCCACACTCATATCCATTTCTTCAAGCCCAGAGTTGCCCAGCTGAGAGAGGCTGCATGTGGGCAACCCTGATTAGTATGCAGCTGACTCTTCCTGCCTGGGTCCTAGTGCTAGTTGTGTTCCTCTTGTCTGCTAGGAGCCTTCCTGTTTTCTGCCAGAAATAGTGCCCGCAGCTGGGCTCAGTAAGACAAGAATGAGGAAACAAGGGAAGGGTATGAGATGCCAGAGGAGAAGGGGTGGGAAGAAGAGGGAGTGGGGAAAGATGGGGGTGGAATAGGGAAGGAGAATATGGCAAGGAGGAGAGATGGATTAAAAAGGGGACAGGGAAATAGCTGGGGGAAGTAGGAGCCTGGCATGCAGCATCTCCTCAGCTCCCACGTTAAGCAGCCCCTTTGAATCCTCATCCTGACAAGCTTCCTACACCTGGACCCTTCCAACAAGCCCTGCACACCCAGATCCCCATATATATTGATCCCCAACCATCTGCAACTGGATCCCCACCCCATGAAGCCCCACTCCTCCAGCAACCAAATTCCACCCCACTGAGGCCCCACACCCAGGAACACTCCCCCCACTGAGCCCCAACCACCTTCATTTCGATCCCCCCCAGAGTCCCACTGCCCCGGAACCACCCCACCCACCAATAAGCCCCTGTGCATCCAGATCTCCCACTGAGCCACCCACACCCCGACTGCTCTACACAGAAACCTCTCACCCCATACCTGGATCCCCCTCATTAAGTCCCTCCACATGTGGATCCTGCTGGGCTGAGCCTGTCCACCCACACCTGGTGCAGAGGGGCTGGGTCTCAAGGTGTTTCTGGGGCACGCCCAGCCCTTGCATTGCATCAGGCTCAGATGCAGCATCACTGCCAAGTCCCTGTACCAAGGGAGATGGGGGCTTCAGAGTGATCTCTCACCTCAATGAAGCACAGAATATTCAATTTCTTTGGTTCATAATTTTAAAAATTTTGGTGCAGAATTCCCTCAGGAGTTAAAAAAAGTACATCTGTGTAGTTTGCTGACTAAGACACTGCTTCTTGCTCCTGTGAGGAGAGCCCTGCGTGGATATAAAATATATATCCAGTCCACAACCCACGAACACGGTGGGCAGATAGAAAGTGGGTATCTGCTGATTTGCAGGGTTTCACCTGGGAGTGCTGCACAGACAAGAGAGTTAGCAGGATTCCATTCCTTCTTGTATTTTATTAACAGAAATCTTCATTAAATCTCAATTGCACGTGGGCACATCCGCTGAATGGGGGTTGCACTGATGTCAGTGACGGCTTAAATCTGGAGACAATCAGGTTGTAGGAAAGACCTTCTGTGACTTTCAGAGTCCAGATTGTGTTTTATAATGGGTGGCTAGCAAAAGTATCTTTTTATATTCTGAAGAAATCATTAACAGATAATAACTATGGAATCACACTGGACCATTTTTACAGAGAATTTCCAGGGGAAAAAAAAAAATAAATCACACTGATTGGCAGAGACTCCCTTTGGGTCACTCTGCAGGAGTAGTATCCAATGTCACACTTATTGTGAAATAAACTCTGCTTTCAATGACACCAGTGTAAATTAGAGTAACTCCAATGATTTCACAAAACTACTAACATTCATGTGGATTTATCCCTCTGCAATCAAGTCTACTCAAGTCCCCCAAAACAAGAAAAAGGAATTTGACACAATAGTGACACTGAGATTGAGACTATGAGCTACAGCTTTCAGGAAAGCTCACAAGTTCTAGAGATGTAAAATCCTATCAAACTAGTTACCCAGTTAAACATATTATTTAACCAGTTAACCCATTAAAGGGAAGACAGACAGAGGAGCTGCTCCAAACGCCTTCCTCTCCCCCCACAGGCAAGGGTTGCTCCATCCTGCCTGTGGGGCACCTGGGGCCACTGCAGACAGAGGCAGTTCCAGCTGCACTGGAGCATCGCCTACCTGTGGGGCTGAAGCCACCCCCTGCCCGTGGCAGGCGGGGAGCAGTTCCAGTCCTCACTGGTTAACTGGAACCAGTAAGCATCACCTGTTAAGGGTGATGCTTACTGGTTAACTTTTCATAACCTGTTCCTCCTTTTTATAGTTCCCTCCCACCCATTCTTTGAATACTCATTCTTCTCCAACAAGGCGGCAAGACATAGGCTTCTTCAGCTCCATTACAGAGGAAAATTCTTCATGTACAGATCTTCAGAAAATGGTACTGAACTAAAAAGGAAGTAATTTCACTGAGATACCAAAGAATAAATAAAATAACTGTTTTGGGGTTACTCACCAGCTGCGTTTCGGAACTTTGATAGCTCTGAAATGAGAAACAAGAGTAGTTAGGAAAGAATATCATGGTTAACTGAGTTTGCACTATTCATCCAATTGTGATCCTGCTATTACAATCCCCAGAAAAAGGAAGATCAGTCTTAAAAGCAGTAAGTATGTCACAGATAGAATTCCTCTGCCAGATTTGAAATTATCTGGACAAGGAATTCATTAGTTGTAACACCTTAAAAAAAAAGGCCGACTCCAAAAGTTCATATTTACACATAGAAATTGGCCTATATGCATATTTAAATACCTAAATAAATGACGTGATTTTCTAGTGTGCTGTGTACCCAGCAGCTTCAGTGAAGTCAATGGGAGCTGCTTGGCAGCCAGAACTTCTGAAAAATGTGGCCTCTTATTTTGGTATTTAAATATGGGCTTAGAAATGTTACTTGAAATAACCAATTAAAAATATTGTCCATCAGTATTTAGTTAGATACAGAAATATCTATATCCAAGTGTGTATTATCTAGCAAGAAAACAGAATGAAGCAGGGAGATAAAATATAGTTTACTGAATTCAGGTAGCTGAGATCTAGTGCACAGGACCAAAGATTACTTTAATTTGATATTTTAAATAAGTTATCCAGAACAGTATGGTCACATCTCTCAAGCTGAGAGGAAGTTCTGGAGAGCAAACCAGAGAGCAGCAGGAAGAAGGCAGCAAAGGAGTTCTTCCCTCCCCGTGTCTCCAGCATGGAAGTCAGAGACCAGGCTGGAAGAAATGCCCTTTTCAGCATGCTGCCATTCCCCCTGCCTTCAAAGTTCCCCATCCCCCATTTTTGTTGTTGCTTATCCAGCATGCACTTTGCCCAGTACTGAGCACTCTGACATGTGCCCAAAGGAAGCCACCCATTTTTGAGCAACTCCTATGGAAGTGCATGTGGGAGCACAGAGAACGGAGAAGTCAAGACAGCCTTGTATCCTCACTTCGCCCCTCTCCGTGGACTTTCTAAGCTCTGATAGAGTTCATTAAAACTAGTGCATAAAAGAAATGCACAGTTTCTAGGTCACAGTGAGCAGTGGTGCTGGAACTATTTTTGGGATGGGAGAGCTGAGGTGCATCCTCCTTTGGACTTGTTGAGGTCAGGTTGCCAACTCTCCCAGTCTGGACAGAATAGATGCCATTTGCAGCAATGGAGTCTGGTCCATCCAGTCCAGGAGAGGTGGCAACCTTCACCACGCCAGGCTCGGGCCACAGCTGGCAGCAGCTGCAGAGCTCTGGTCTGGTGGCTGGACCGCGGGGCTGGTGGGGCCAGCGGGCTGCAGAGCCCATGACAGAGCCAGCAGGTGACAGAAACCTGGAGCGTTGGCAAAGCTCACAAGGGCTGCTCAGAGGCCAGCACCTGGAGCAACCAGCAGCAGAGCCGGCACCCAGGCATGTGGAAGCTGGGTACAAAACCTGGGAGTGCTGCAGCACCTCCCCTCTCCCACTTCCTTACTTCCCACATCTAGGATAGTGAGATCAAAAAGTTAAGATTTTTTTAATAGACCAGCAGTGATCACTCAAATCAAAGTCTTGCATTCCCCAAACAGCCTTAACCTTAAACTAGGGATATTAAATATTTGTTAACTGAATAGTTGAGTAAACTCATGAATTCTTAGTGGCTAGTCAACTATTCTATAGTCTCGGGGGACATGGTCGGCAATCAGTGCACTCCAGCCTCACTCCTGAGGAGCCCCCTGCCACTCTGCACTGCTGCCTCTGCATCAGAGGCAGCAGCATGGGGTGCCAGGCAGGAGCTGGTCCACAAGGGGAGCCAGTTTAAAAAACAATTCCCCTCACAGACTGGTGGCTTGTCACCATGTGCTGCTGCCTCTGACAAAGAGGCAGAGGCGTGGGTAGCAACAACCCTGTCTGTGAGCAGAGGGAGGGGTCTGAGATCCCAGACCCGGTGCGAGCTGGAACTGAGCTGGGCTGTTGGCCAGCTTGTTAAAAAATTTACTGGCAGGAGAGGGGGAGGAGAGCCTATAAATTTCTGTTTATCAGTTAATCTATTATTCAACTACACAATTACATCCCTACCTCAAACTGTCAAAAATAAAAATAAAAACACAAATTCATGCCTACAAGATCACGTGTGCCAAAATCCAGGAAAAAAGTAAGTTTGGGTTTTGTTTTAAGGAAGTTATACGCAAAAGGTCAAAGAAGGGCTTATAACAACAACGGCATTAGAACCTTAAGTATAGAGTCACTGAAGTAGTTCCAAAATACGACATCAGAAAGACAGGATCACAGAAATCCAGTTACAGGCAGCAATTCTCAAGACACCCAAGTCCTCAATATGTGGCTGGGCATGTGCCAACAGGGCATGTATAAAACATCAGTGGACTTGAAAATGTTACCAGCCATAACTGTTACCCAACACTGAAAAGGAGAATTACTGTCTCACTCAATGACCTGAAAGGGGAGGTTTGCACACATCAGTGAAGAGACAGAAGATGATCCTACTGAACGAATCCCCAGGCTCCCGAGACACACTAATGAACGTGACAAAAAAGCAGGGAGACAGTAATGAAAAGAAAGGAAGATGCAGAGCAAGTCCATTCCAGAAAAACAAAATGACATACCTTTTGCAACATGAAGTTTTCCTGAGGGAAGAAGAGAGAAGAGATGAGTGTGCAGAGAACAGACCATCAACTGGTATTACAACTACATTAATGTGACCACTCTCATGCAACCTGCACAATTCCCTCATCCTGCCTGATGCTACATTCCCATGATCAAAGAGTCTCCTTCCCACAGAGATCTACTTCAGCAAAAAATACCAAACACTGGCAAAAATAAGAGCATTTTGGGTGAGCCCAGGAAATGTAAATGTAACAGAGGAAATTGTCAGGACCAAGAGGCAAAACCAATCACGTACTGATGTTTCTCTTGCATCCCACATACCATGCCTAATTCTTGCTATTAATCTCTATCTCAGGATGCATTTATCTACAGAGAATATTCTATACTGGAAAAGGACCAGGAACATACCTTTGGATTTTCTCTCTGTTTTGAATATGAAGCCTGTAACTGCAATCAACATAACGAGCAATACACATAATATCACAATGTTGGCTAAATAGGACTGTTTATCATATGGGAATAAATCACCTAAAATGAAAGAGAAGTGGGATGTTAGTTCAGGAAGAAAACAACTTTAGAATTGGAAGGCATCTCTCTGACATCCCTCGATGCCACCGATCCACATCTAGGACACTCTATTCCCTCCAGAAGCAGCTCTAAAGTCCCACATCAACTATAAATCCTACTGAGCTCCCCCAAACTACAAGTATTTAATGTATATTCCTTCATCCATTATAAACTCCATTGACAGCATATTACACTATGTATTTTTAAATGCCATATACAAAAGAGATGTTTGGAGAGACTAAAAATTCCAAGACAATATATTGTGAAGCTCCTGCTTTCTGTAGCTCTGTCCCAACCTACTCTGTTATGTCCCTCTAACCACTACCCTGCTTTTCTACTACCCAGACAAACACTTTGGAATAGGATAGCCTTACTGGAAAGTTGCAACTCTGACTGTCTTGTCTGGTCCCAGAAGTTGCTTTGGAGTTGACACACCAGGATCTGGTCCTTGTTATTTTTCACATACAGGTGACTCTGAATATTGTATAGATCTTGGTCATCTTTCAGAGAGGACATAGTTGAGTTCTGTCTTTGGCCATGCCTGTCAGTCCACAGTATTTCTGGTTCCGGATACCACCCTTCTGAATTGCAAGTGAGTGTCACAGTCTGGTCCTGAGAATGGCGCACAGAGATCGTGGGGCCTGTGCCAACAGCTGTGTCAAAGCAAACCAAGTAATATTAGCCTCCTGAACAAGAAACACCACTACTTAGTTCCCATTGGGAGGGAAAGGGCTCACCATTACAGCCAGTTACCAAGTTCTCTCATTAGCTACAGAGATCACGGTGGTGTTCTGCTGGCTACACATTATCACAGAGCATCTAAGCACTTATTTGGGTGTGTCTAAACTATATGGCTCCATCGATGGAGCCATGTAGATTAGACTGATCGGCAGAGGGAAATGACAAACAGCTGATCATCAGCTGGTCAGCAGAGTGCAGCAGCCATTTAAATTTAAATGAAGCTGCGATTAATTAAATCACAGCTTCATTTCCCTCTGCCGATCAGTCTAATCTACATGGCTCCATCGATGGAGCCATATAGTTTAGACACACCCTAATAAGTGCTTAGATGCTCTGTGATAATGTGTAGCCAGCAGAACACCACCGTGATCTCTGTAGCTAATGAGAGAACTTGGTAACTGGCTGTAACTGCTGCCAGCAGCCATGGCATCTTGGTGACAAGGGGGATCTGAAATGAAACAGAATGACAGAGGAAACTGTGTTTGCATGGGGGATACATGCCAGTGAAGGACACATCACCCCACTAAAACAGAAGAGCAATTCACTGACAAGTGCCTACTTTACCTCCAACCTTTAACTCCACGGAGCTTTCCATATAATTCAATCGATTGCCAACGAAGCAGACATAATTGCCTCCATCTGCCACCTGAACCTTCTTTAAGAGTAGAGAGATATTGCCATTGGGAAGCTCCTCTTGGAACAGCTCTGTCCTTCCCCGGTAGTGTGGGTTCTGCTTCTGCAGGGAGTCACCCCCATTCACATAATGATGGGCGAGGCCAGGCATCTCACTGCTGTGCCATCTCACTTCCATCTGTTTGGCACTGGTGCTAGGAGAGAGCTTGCATGGAAGGACGACATCAATGCCAACTTTGGCAATCACAGGAGAATCTGATCCTTTCAGGGTTAAGCTTTCTGAAAGGGATATCGTGAAAGATATTAATTCCACCAGCAGTTTATTGCCTATTTAATCCCCCCCCCCACACACACACACCATTCTGCCACTTGAACCGTTACCATCTACATTTCCATCACTAGTTCTCATCATTACCATCTTCATCACCAAAAATCAAAACCCACACAGAGTGCTGGTGACAAGGAAGACTCTATGACCACCATTACATAGGGCAAATTATGCAGGGGAGCATTCTGGACAACCCAGATAAGCATCCAACAGATAAGAGAGGGAAATACTCTTTTTAAATCTGATAGCGCTGTGAAGGCCTCATAATAACCTGAAAATACTGGAATAGCTGACCACCACCATCATTCAGCAGCACTGTCAGCAGCTCATATATCACCTGTCTCAACTCTCACCATCTTTGTTACCACCACCATGGGCCAGGCAGATCTCTTGCTCACTAATGCATCTCTCCCTCCCCACTGCACTAGTCAGTATGTTCCAATCCTAAAAAGGGGAGCAAGAGCACTGGACAATCCCCCAGCAAGTGCACTCAGCTTCTCAGGATTGAAACCTATAATATCAAATATTTTCTAGAGACTCCATTCTCCAGCACCTGTCTTGATTTAGCACTGTCTTCACAGTGACAGATGAGATGGAAGGAGTACAATTATTGTCTGAACCTCTCTGTCAAATTCATTCCCACCTCCTCATCCCAAGCTAGAACAAATGTCCTAGGATTAAGAGACTGCATAGGTCAAACCCAACAATACTATAAGCCAGGTGCATTTCTGACCTATGTCCAGAAGCATGGTGAATGAGTGACTGGTAAAGAATTCAGGTACGTTCTTGATAAAGACAGACAAATATTGAGAAAATTCATTCACTAATAGTGTCAACAATAAAAGCACAGAATTCGGGCCATACATATTAATGGGGAAAAATTCAGCCACTCGCGAGTGTTCAAACAAGTGCCAGGCTTTTGCAAAAATGTTTGTGAAGCCTCAAAGCATCATGAATTTTAACATAAGCCAGAGCCCATCTGAAAAGTCATAATACAGGTGTGTTATTGGTTATTTACCAGTCACGTATTATTCTCCCAGGTAAAGGAAGTTTGTTCACATTAGTAGATGGTAACAATAGCACATGAGCTAAGCGACTAGTGACAATAAATTGTCAAAAGTTTGTTTGCATGTACATTATTTGCTTCAATCTCAATACAGAACAGAAATGTTAAAAATCATTTAATACGTAACCGTGTACCCACTAAAAATCTCAGCAGTTACACACACTGCGGGCTCTGCGGTCTAAAGCTTAGCAGAGAAGCTTCCCGAGGAGCAGAGCCACCAGCCCCTGACTGCCCAGCTCCCGGGGAGGAGTCTTCACTGCCTTACTACAGCAAAGCCTCCTCCCCAGGAGTCATCGGAGTATAACCAATATCATTAACCGATAAGCTTATCAACTAAACAGTCGGTTAAACTAACATCCCTACTACAGAACAGAATTGGTGTGTGAATCTGATCAGAAAAGGGACAAACAGTTTGATCAGTTTTAGTTCTTGATATATTACGCCACCACTTGGGCCTCAGGTAGTATGTTGTTTTATAGTTTTCATTGCTTGTTTGTTTCATCTAAATAAATAAATACACAAGGAAAATTACCACTTTCCGCTCTTATTTTAGTAAAAATACATTTTACCAACTCCCAGGCTCTTTTGTTAGACCTCTCTTCTCTTCCAGATTCTTTCTTTTTTGCTCTCAATATTCTTAAGAAATCCCTCCTTACTTCATCAACTTCTTCCTCCTTTACTTTTCCCCCTCTGGCTCTAAATTCCCTGAGCAAGTGGCTTTGATCTCCTATCTTCTGGCTCTCTTTAACCCCTTCAATTTCGCCCCAGCCAATCTCACTATAAGCCTCTTACTCAACCCAAAGGGCTCGTGCTCTATAAATATTCACTTTCATTCTTCTACTGCCCTTCGTAATACAGAACAAATTATTTTCCTCTGGTACTTTCTTCCCTGGACTTCTGCTCTTATGAAGTACTTCCATTCAAACTGTACAGCTGTGCAAGAGCTCTTCCATAAACAACCCTTCTTTCTATGTGAATTCACTCTTCTTGTTCCCTCCCACATGCATTGGTGCTGTTGGGACTTCTCTCCAAATGGTTCTTGGGCAGAAGTGATCTCTCCTCCCACTATGTGGTAAAGATCAGAGAGAAGGGTGTGACTTTGGATCCAGGTACAAATCCTGCTTACCTAAGGAGACCATAAGTGCTAGGTGGCAGAAGAAGGCAAAGGCCCAGAGCCCACTCCTGGTAGACAGTTCCATAATCCTTACAACACAAAACAGAAGAGTTCATACTAGTGTCCAGAAAATTCAGGGGAGAAAAGTCTGAAGATCATTCACAAATCAAACCACAATTTCTGTCAGATAAAAATAATATGAGGTTCATACTACATTTTTCAGGCTATAGTGGCATAATCTGGAGTTTACAGTCTCATCATGTTTTACATATAAATTTCAGTTTTCTTCCGTAGTGTGGTCCAATGGATAGAGCTCCGGACAGGGCATCAGGAGTCCTATGTTCCATGCCTATACACTGGCATTTCTGTATGGCCTCCCAAAAGTTATAACTGTTTTTTGCCTCAGTTTCCTCATCTGTAAAATAAGAACAAAGACAATTTATCTCCTATGTTATACATTTTGAGATCTACAAATGAAAAGCATTATACAAGAGGTAGCTATAAATAATACTGTCCTAAAGAATCCCAAATCACTTCTACATAACATATATGCCAGCCATATAAAAAGGCTTGGTAGGATTACATTGTTATTGGTAAATGTTGATTTCATGATGCATACTAATCCATAAAAATATATTTCCATTGATAAATGAAATTTATCAAGACAGAAAGTAAAAGAATGTTGCTTAAAAAATTCTTAGAGTTTGATTTAAGGATATTTACTTTGTATATTTTGACATTTGATGTTCACAATTTGTGCATTCACAGCTAAAGTTAAAATGTTATAGTTTTTATTTTCTGAATCTTGCGGTCTACTCTCATTGTCTGATGCGCCCTCCACCCCATGTCACACAATTTCCTGCAACTGTGAAATTTTTAAATACACAAAATGCTTTAAAATAATTAATATTTTCTGTGAGAATTGTAACAAAATAAAAAGTGAGTTCTGCTTGCACATGAAGCATTCAGAAGACAGACAGCAACAGCTCGGAATTTTAATGTTCCTTACTCGAGAATGAGCTGTGCTCATTTCACATTCCCAGCACCTTGGGGCAAGAACCATCAATAAAGAAGATGTACAGCACCTAGCACAGGGGCTCCTGGCTTAGGTGCTAGAACTGGGAGAGCACTTCTGCACCCCTGGGTTTTAAATGGCTTCCATCCTATACAGTAGTGGTCACCAATCAGTAGATTGGAATCTACTGGTAGATCTTGGAGCCTCTGACAGATGATCCTGACTAGTTTGTCCAAGAGTCTATCAAGTGCCAGCACTTCAGCTGCCCCTCCCCGCACCGCTGCTCATCTCCTGCCCTTTGCCTTGGAGCTGCCTCTCTCCCTGGGGAACCTCCTGCTTTCTGTGCAGGTGAGGGGAGGGAGAGAAAGGTTGCTGATGTCAAGGTGCCTCCTCTCCCACTTTTGTATCCTTTCTCCACAAAGCAGAGAAGGGGCACAAGAGGACTTGGGAGGGAGTTTGCCAGCTGCCTTAGGGAGTGGGCCAAGGCAGGAGTGTGTCTCCCTTAGCCCCACTGCACCATCACCCAGGAGCCACAAGCAGTGCCCAGCTGAAGCCCATATCCCAAACGACTACCCTAGTCATGAACCCTCTCCCCCACACTCCCGGCCCCCGCCCCGACCCCCCCTGCCTCCAAATGCCCTCCCAGATCCTGCACCTAGAATCCCCTCCTACATTTCAACTGCAAGCCCCAAGAGCAGCTCAGAGCCCCTCTCACACTCCAGATCCCTTAATCCAAAACCAGAGCCTGCACCCCAACCCTCTGCCCCAGCCTGATGAAAGTGAGGGAGAATGGGCAAGAGAGGGAGGATAGAGTGAGCAGAGGTAGGGCCTCAGAAGGGGTGGGAAGGAGGCGGGGCAATGGTATTTATATTTAAGGTAGATCTTGGATTGCATTTAAATTCAAAAAGTGATCTCATGCTCAGAAAGGTTGGAGACCCCTGCCATACAGCTTTTGCAGGAATGGGGAACCTAAGGTTCCAGGGGCCAGATGTGGCCCCCAGCTTGCCTGGATCTGGCTCTGAAGCTCAGGGCTCCCACCCCAGCATTGGGAAGCCCATGCTGGCACTCCAGCCCTCCCTGCTGTCCCACCTTGGGGCCGGAGCACACACTGGTCCTCCTAGATTTTGGTGTGCAAAAGAAATATGGGAATGTCTTTCTCCCTCTAGGTTTCTTTTTCACTTCTCACTTGTTGTGCTGCGCCCAACTGATTCTCTGATTGTCAGCGGCCCCCGACCCAAAAAAAGGTCCCCCCCCCCTTTTACAATTTGGTACAATGGCTCTCAGCGCGCGTACACCCCCCTTCCAAATCACCCAGCACCCCGGCTCCTGTCCCACGGTCGGACTGCAGTAAGTAACAGCCAGCCACCTCCTAAACCCCCCCAGTACAGAGACTGGGCTGCCTGCAGGGTGATCCCGAAGTCCCTTGCCACAGACACGCAGAGGATGACCCAGCAACAGGCCTGCCACGGACATGGAGGAGCCACCCCCCCGCTGCTTCTCTGCCCTTCGGCTCAAACGCAGCGAGCTGCCGCCCTTGTGCGGACATTCCCCGCGGCTCGGCCCTTCCCCTCCTGGCCGGGCGACCCGCTAAGCCCCCGCGCACCTGCAGGCGCCATTCCCAGCGCCAAGCTGCAGCATCCCGCGGCTCCCGGGCCCTGGCGCCTCGGGCTGCAGCAAAGCGCCCAGGAGAGACGCGGCCCCAGATATGCGCAAGTGCGAAAGGAAACGAAACTCGCCGTAAAACGTAAAAGCAAAACACCGGGGCAAGCGCCCAGCAGCTCAGTAAGTTCCCCTGCCTCGCTAGGGCGGGGCACGATGCATGCCCAGCACAAATCCCCGACAGCTCTTCGGCTTTTCCTAAACGCAGGGAAATGTTAGGCTATTGCAGGCTCGATACACTAGGAGCCGATCAACCACCGAGCTCAAGCTACCAGGGTTCAAAACCATAACCAAGAAAGGTTGTTGTGTTATATTTTATCTACTAAAGGTTGTTATATAGACTGCGGAAGGATCCCACCCCTGTAAGCGACGGCGGGGGAGGCGAGGACGACTTAGACACGTGGGAAGCACCATGTTATATGTTGATTCTACACTTGACTTCAGGTGTGAGTTTTCTTTACCGGTCATAAACAGTCGGGTAGAAAAATGACAATAAGTTGCCACCGAGACTTTACCTGGTACAGAGCAGCTGAGCAAACTTAATTGTAGCCTTTAGGAGAGTAAAAAAGACCAAGATTTTCTTTTTGATGTCCAACAACGTGTAAGGCACCTTAATAGGGATGATTTTTAAGAAAATGAAGAATATCAGCCCACTGAAAGCCCCAGGTAAGACATCTGAACATGGGTACACAGTAATTTGGGAATCCGTATTTATTCCCTAAAAATCTTAATCTACAAATTTAAAGCTCAGTAAGATCTGAAACAAAAAACAGGACTATGCAGCACTTTAAAGACTAACAAGATGGTTTATTAGGTGCTGCACCATCCTGCCTTTTGTTTCAGCAAGACCACACTAACGGGCTACATCTCTATTAGTAAGATCTGTTCCCTTTGAGTGACTGTGCAGAAGCAACTGTTGAAGAAAAAGAGCTTATCAAATTGAAATTTCATACTAAATTGTAAAAATTCAGTGTTTGGCATGTTAGTGTTCCCCTTCTGTAGTTTGTGTATTTTTAAAATAATTTTAATAAAGCTTTATGTAGAAAATCAATATCTTGAAAATGATCTTCTGAATTGAAACACTGTGTCTTAATTCAGTGCCCTTCAGACAAACTCTGAAATGTGATTGTTTGAAAATGTTTTCTATTAAAAGATTAATACAATATCCACACCAGCTGGAAAGCTCAAAGGGATAAATAGTGTCCCTTTGAACCCTAACCTACCCAGCCCATGCCAATTTAAGGCCTGTGTTGAGCAGAAAGAGGGGAGGGAACAGGGAAGCAGAGGAGGAGTTATATTTAAAAGAATAGAAAACTTGCCTTCTGGTAATACAATAATTCCTCATTTAACACTATAGATATGTTTCAGAAAATGATTGTGTTAAGTGAAAATGTGTTATGCGGCGTCAATTTTCCCATTGAAAATAATGGAAAAAGTGGGGGTTGTTTCAAGCGGTGATGTCTGTTGGGACCTGGACATAAGGTTGGGGGAGAAAGGGGACTGGGTTACAGCAGGGAGGGGAGGAGTTTGGCTCTGGGAAAGGGAAGGAGAGGGGAGGGGGATTGGGTTGAGAGTATGCCCCTGAGAGTAGTGTGCTGGGACCCGCACTGTGTCCGGCAGGGGGTCCTGCCAGGGAACGGCACAGTGAGCAGCAAACCCTCCGCCGCTTTGCAGGGAGGCAGGGAAGCCCCGTGCAGCCGCCAGCAATGGGCCGGCTAAGGAAATCATGTTATGCCAGGGACGGTCATGTGATTCAAAAAACATTCCCTAAAAAAATAATCGTGCTAAGCGGGCATATGTTAAACAAGGAATTACTGTACTACAGGTTGAACCTCTCTGTTCCAGAACTCTCTTGTCCTGGGGGAGTCCAGGAGGCCAGCTGCCCCTGGATCCTTGACAGCTCACAGGCAGAGAAATCTGGTTATTTACTGAAAGACCACCCAAGAGCTCGGAATCTGTCAGCAGAGGGGCTGACCTCCTCTGGTGTAGCAAACTCCTTCCTTCAGAACTGGTCAGGTCCCCATGGTGCTGAATAAGGGAGGTCCAACCTGTAGTTAACTAAGAGACTCTTCAAGGATGACTTGAACTGCTTCACAGCTTATCCCAAGCCTGGTTGAAAAAGGGTAGCAACTGACCCTAAAAATTGGCCCATGTTTTCCACGAGTCCTGTGAGCCAACTCCATATAAGTGGAACTAAAACAAGGAGAAAGATAGATTATCAGCCTACACATAATAGAGAATAAATGTTCAGTCATGAACTCTTCAACCTAGCAGAGAAAGACATCACACAATCTAATGGTTTGAAATTGAAGTTAATTCAAATCAGAAATAACATTTGAGTAGTGAAAATAACTAATCCTTCAACCAATTTACCAAGGGTCCTGGTTGAACCACTGTCACTGAATTTTTAAATCCGGATTGGATTTTTTTTCCTTCAAGATGTGCTCTGGGAATTATTTACAAGATGTTCTTTGGACTATGTTTTATAAGAGATAAACCAGAAGAGATCATTCTGATCAGCAGTGATGTCATATTTAACAGCAAACACTAGAAAGTTAAGTCAATTAGGTCCCAATCTCAATTCTGCCCTGATCTCTACTCAGCCCTTCCCTCCTGACTAAAAAACACTGAGTTGGTCAACTGTAATTTCAGTTTCTCCAACTAAGTAATTATAAAACATAGTGGCAATGTCTACATTGCGACTAAAAAACACTGAGTTGGTCAACTGAAATTTCAGTTTCTCCAACTAAGTAATAAATTATAAAACATAGTGGCCATGTCTACATTGCCTCTTGTGCAAGAAGGAGCTGTCTACACAGCTCCTTGCGCAAAAAACCCCTCTTGCGCAAGAGCCATTCTGCCACTTATTTTCAGGCAGCACAGCTCTCATGCAAAAGGGGGGTTTTGCGCAAGGAACAGTGTAGACAGCTCCTTCTTGTGCAAAAAATGGCGGCTCATTAAGTAAACAAATGAGGCACGGTGCAAAAAATGGCGGCTCATTAAGTAAACAAATTAGGCACCGCACCTCATTTGCATATGTTCTTGCACAAGAGCACGCAATGTAGATGTAGCCAGAATTTTAGTTTTCTGATTTGCTCATCACCTTCCCACTTATAACCCAAAGGTGGTCTATAAATATTCTGATTTGCTCATCACCTTCCCACTTAACACAAAGGTGGTCTATAAATAGAAGCACAAGTAAAGGGCAGATTCTTAATATTAGGATCAGAAGTCAAAAAGCCTCAGTGGAGGACATGACAGCTGAGTGCTAGTGTGTCTTAAAACTTATGCAGCATAGAACAGAGACTGAACAAGCAGGAACATACTGCATGTTTTCACCTCCTCTTTTCGTATTAAAGGAGTATTGCCTAAGGGAAGAGGAACAGGCAGTATGCAGCAGTAGGAGGATGCTTTTACTATATTAACTACAATTGGTTAATAAAATACTTGGTCAGTCCTTTCACTGTGAAAATATATATAAAATAGTAAATGAAACAATGAATTCACACTATTGTGGCTCTTTCGGGTAATGAAACGATCACTAATTTGGCTCTTGAAACAACGAGGTACAGACCATTGGACTTCCCCAAACTAAATTGAATACAATACTTGTGGCTGAATTGTAGTTAATATAGTAAAAGCATCCTGATCAATAATTACACTAGTGTTTAAATCTATTTTGCAAAGAGCAACAGGAAAAGCATTTAAAGAGCCACCTGCAGCTCATAAGCCTCAGTTTGAAACTGCCCAAAATAATCACAATTGGCCATCTGGCCTTAAAAATCAATGACACACTGGGGGTTAGTCCCCATTTGGTACAGAGAAGCTAAAGTACTGGTTCTATTGAACACAAGCAGATGGAGTAGAGAAGCAGGTTTGTGTCCTGCATGTGATAGGAATATATTGGTATATATGGTGAATATGCAGATGCATGCTGGCAATGTTCTGTAATTACTATCGGAAAAGATGGAAGAGTATGGTGAATGGAACTAGCAGAGTTCTCTGGCCTATAAGTGGAAGGAGAGTTGGCGTACGGAGAAAGGTTAAATTTAGAAACTGTTCATGTTAAGTAAGAAAAGCCTAAAGTTTAACATTTTAGTACAATATTAGCACTTTACAGAATTTACTAGAATTTTTCTTGTCAGTAAAAATAGTATTCATGCTCTTAAAATTTGTAAATTGTTTTTACTTCTAGCGATGTATTCTCTCATCAGTCCCAGGAACATCCAGTGTAATTAAGTATTTTAGGCTTGAAGTAAGTTAAAGCTTTTCTGGCTTAAACAAGGAAGCTTGTTAACCGTTATGAATTCCACATTTCTGGTCTCAAAATGAGATGTTCCACTAGCAGAAGTTGGTGGACAAAGAGGGATTATATACGATACAGCAAAGTACAAAAGCGGCAATAGATACAGTTTTAGTATATTTAAAAACTGCTTTGTGAAGTTGTGACTACATGATTGTACTTAATTCAAAATCTAGCCAGGCTATTCTTTCATAAAATTAATGCAATAATCTCACCACAGGAGTTATGCAGAGTCTTTCCCCAGCTGCATTAATACAGACACCAGATTACAACAGGATAGGAGTTTTAGTACATCAAACATTTATTTGTTTCAAGAGAGACACTGACATTTCCCCTGTGAGCAGGAAGCCATCACTTTGACTCTGGAGGGGACAGGGTGCAAAACTCTCATGAAGTATATGCAGCAAAAATACCTCCCTGACAGTCCCCTGCAGGAAGTGATTGATTAATCTCACTCCAACTAAAAACACAGTATTACAAAATATTTACAAAAAGACAACCAAAATGGAACATAAAAACTTAATGACTGGGTGTGTATATGAAATGTTGCCAACATATTTCCAGCACCTCAGGAGTTTATTTGGACTACCCAGAGCTGTCAGATGAAAAGATCCCAGTGGGAAGGCCAGACCCACTTGTCTTTCAGTACCAGTGTCCCACAATAGAAAAGCCAAGATAGGTTCCATCATAGTGTCACTTCTGGATTTTAGTCTCCGCCCACAAAGAGAACAGAAAGTGGCAATTCTGGCTCTGAAAGGACAATCCCC